AATCTCTGTAGATGTTCATTGAAATTAATAATAATAATAAAAAAAACGTAACACACACACACACACAAAAGAGTAAGGATGACCCCTAGTGCTAAGGGGAAAAAACAATGAAAATAACTCACCCTAAAGTGGTAAGGAATTGTACTGCTAAACGGAAGTACAAGGTTCGAATCCACCAGCTGTTCTGTGGAAGGAAGATGGGCGATCTCCCCCTGTGTGGTTTACAGCCTCCGAAAACCTGCTGGAGGGTCAGCTGTGGGTCGGTTCCAACTTGACTGCTAACAACAATAAGAAACAGAGCCCAAAAAACTGAAAAGAAATAGAGCCAAACCTGGCAGGTTCAAAAGGAGCTACCAGCACACAACTTGTGACGTCTACTAAATAATTCACTCCAGACTCCCTGAAGAGTTCCATCTGCAATGTCCAGCACGTAGTTGAAAAAAAACTACTTAACCTGCAAAGAAGGAGAACAAAGGACAGATACTCCAAGGGGGAGCACAATAGAAATAGACAATGGGGTGACCCGGATGTTGGGATTCGTGGTTAAGGCCTTTCAGGTTCCTGTTACTTCAGTATTTGGAACTTAAATGAAAAGATAGTCCCAATGAATGAACAGGTGAAAAATCACAGAAGTGAAAGCGAAACTAATTAAAAAAAAAATCTGTGAAAATGTAGAACAGAAAAATAAGGCACCTAAAATGGAAAGATTGTTGTTTGGAAAACTCTGCAGCGCCTCCCAGGCCATTTACAGCCTCTGAAAATGTGCTCAAGGGTCAGCTGTGAGTTGGTTCTGGCTCGATGGTAGTAACTTGAATTGCTGAAATGAAAAATTCACTGTTTGGGATGCAAACGTGGATGAATAAGGGTTAGGTAAGGCCCTAAAACTGGAAGGAAGTCTCCTTCGTAAAGAGAACAGCATGCTCAGCGTTCCTAAAACAGCAGTGTTTATGAGGAGAAACTGGAAGATGGCAGAGTAGCTAGAACTGAAAGAGCCAAGAAGAGAGACTCAGTGTCGGGCTGAAGGAGCTGAAGAAGTGACTGACCCACTGGGCAAGAGCTTTCAGGCCGGAAGGAATTTGAACATGATCATGGGGACCTAGAAAAACCACAAGGATTCTAAGGAGGAAGGAAAGTGTGGACGCAAAGAGACTAGATAAGAGGCCATTGCAATGGTCTAGGCGTAACAACTAAGACTTAGGTGGGAGTAGTAGAGAGACGTGGTAGACTGGGAAAATATTCTGACGGCAAAATCTCTGCAGATTCACTGGGTGAGAAGATGCTGGAGATGGTAGCGTAAAGGAATGCTCTGGCTTAAACAGTTAAGACAGCAGTAGTCTCAGCTTCCAGGGAACCCTGGGCAAGGCATAATCCTGACTCTTTAGAGTTTACAGTGACCATGGGACATATGAATAGAAATGTACAAATAATATGTTCTTGGATAAATGGGTCCAAAATTTCCAAGAAGGTCACACGAGATGGAATGTAAGAGAAACATCCTTGAATTAGTGAAGATGTCCTGTTGTAGAGATTAGGATCCACAAGGGGGTCAAGTTGGTAATGCTTTCAACTGCAGATAATTGGTAATTCAAATTAAAGTAGCTCATACCAGTACAAAGTTCCTTTTTCCTACGTTGTTCTTGTCCTTGCTGTCGTAGTTATCGTCAAGTCAACTATAACGACCCTGTGAGTAACAGATCTGAGCCTCGCCCTATCCTCACGATCTCTTACACGCTCGACCCCATTAACAGATGCTGTGTTTGAGGGGCTCACTGAGGGTCTTCTCCGTCACTGTCCCTCCACCTTTCCTAGCATGTTGGCCTTTTTCCAAGGACTGACCCCTCCTGATGACATGCTCAAAGTACATGATGTGCTGTTACACGTCCTTGCCGCTAAGGAGCACCGTGGTGGTACTTCCTCCAACACAGACTTCGTTGTTATTGTTGTTGTTTTGGGGTTTGTTTGTTTTTTTAAGTTTATTAATTTTAATGAACATTTACAGAGATTTTGGATTTCCATTCATTCATTCATTGTTGTGTTTTTCTCCCTGCCCACCCCTCCCCACCAGTTCACCCTTCTCTTTGAAAAGTAAAAGAAAAATTCTTTCATTGGTAGACAATGGCTGCCCCCCAAGTCCACTCCACTGTGCAGCCTTCATCCTGGACTCTTGTCATGACCATAATACCCAATCATATATTGCTTTTAAACTGTTCTTTTCCTCATCAGTTTCAATGCAGTCTACGTAAGTTATCCAGTTTTTCTCAGTCTCACCCCAACCCTGATGTCAGTCCCGTTCTACAACAGTGGCGCTATGCAGTATTTGCCCTTTGGCAGTCCACGTGATACTCAGTACTCTTCTCCATCACCTCAATTCAAAGGCATTGACCCCTCTTCTGTCATCCTTATTCCATGAATGGCAGTCGGGCTCTAAGTGGTGATTCTC